AGGAGAGGGGTACACTAGAGCTGAGCTCCAGCTTGCAGTGGTGTGGCACTGTGAGTGCTCAGTCGGCAATCTGAGCTTCATTACTGTCTGCATAGAAAGAAGGAATTAAAGTCAGAGATTCCAGAACCCTAGGAGAAAATGGTAAGTGAGGACACAAGCAGTGAGTGTTGTAGCCCATTCTATACGTCTCGGAGATGACCTCCAGCAGGATGCCCTCTGGGTAAGCCAGTCGGGGTAGTGCTCCTGGCCCCATATTGGGGTGGGGAGTAGGGATGACTCCTGGGCTGTAGTGTGCTTATTATTTTTTTTTTTTCATGAACATTTAACAGCATAAGCAATTATTCTATTTATTTATTTTTTGAGGCAGGGTCTTGCTATGTAGTTCAGACTGACCTGGAACTCAATTATATAGCCTAGGCTGGCCTCGATCCTGCTGTACTCCTCCTGTGGCAGCCTCCTGAGTGCTGGGTTACAGACATTCACGATGGCCAGCAGTAATGATTTTAATAAATGGATTAAGAGCCTATGAAAGTTGCAAATAAGTCAGTCCCACATTGGTTGCGTTGTCCAAGTCTTCTCTCCTCCAGGGAAGCCCCAGCTTTTAGTTCCATATTACTCATATTACTATTTGATCATTATCATTTAGCTCTCCCACTAGACTAGAAACAGCAACACTCCCAGTTATTTTGAATTCTCAGTACCCAGCACAGTGCCCAGAAAGTCGTATTCAGTGTTTATTATGTGAATGTTTGAACAAATAAACTCATACATATCTTTTCAAAGCACAGGATAATTCTAATTTGGTGGTCTAATGGAATTTAGAAAAGTAGAATGTTTAAGGAAAATAGGAATTGATAGTTTCAAAGGCAGTAGACAAAGATTGAAAACCAGCCTTTGGATTTGGCTGTTAGAGAAGGCGACTAGTTTCCAGAGTGCAAGTATCATAGAAGAAGTGTGCGAATGGAAAGCATATTTAAGTGAAGAGTAAGTGAGAAGTGAGGACAAAGTAACAGCATAGAAGTTTATTTTTGTTTCATTTTTGAATATTTGAGGCTACTGGAAAGAAATTATTGAAGAAACTCAAAGATTTCAGAGAGAATTTGTTATTGTTGATGAAGTTATGCACTTGATTTGCTTAGAAATGAATATGCCCACTAATACATCAGGATAATATATTCTTTTCTCTTAGGTTTTCTTGCTTTAAAAAATATATTTAGTTCACTACACAGATTGGACTCATAGTGATACTCCTGTTTTCAGCCTCCCAAGTGCTGGGATTACAGGGATGCACCACCACGCCCAGTCTTAATCGCTGTCTCAGCATGCCCTGGGAGTGGGGCCAGCACAGCACACTGGGGATAGAACCCCGGTCCTTGCATCTGCCTAAGCAGGAGCTTTAATCCACTGAGCTATCTGGCCGGCCCTTTCTCTTAGTTTTGATACCTAGTTTGAACTTAGAGGTTTTTGCTATGCTATTTGGGATTGCCTTGTGACAAATCTAATAGTGGCATATACATAACAAAGTAAATTAGATCTGATAACCTGTTATTCCTTGTGCATGTTTCTATAATCTTTTTCTAAGAATTACATAAGAGTGGGATTTTTGGGTAGTTATAATAATGCTTGGTTGTTTGATTTTTCAATCAGTCATAACTTGCCACCTAAAATTACTATAATTTTGTCTCCTTAGCAATAATTTAGTATTATAAGCTGTTTGAAAATTGCAGTATACTTATTTTAGTGGCTAGGACTTTATCAGCTGCTGTCTTTATAAAATCTTGCCTTGAAATGTGACATGTAGGGCCAATGTTATATAACAGTTGGATCATCATTTTCGACTTGAAGATTGTGAAAGAGAAGCCTGAATTACCAAGCAAAAATAGATATTATGAAAATTATAGACATCATTACTCGTTACAGTGAAACTTTAAAATAAATCTTTTAAAAAATTCACCCATAGTCTTGCTTCAGAATATTTTTTTCATTTATGACTTTGAACATTATAAAATATTTCTGAACAATATAAGAATATCTTTATAACTACACTCACTTAAAAAAATAAAACACAATGCATAGAGTGGGAGCCCTGTTTTCCTTTTATCTATCACGTCCTCATTCCTCCCTCCCAAAGGTAATTATAATTGTACATATGTTTTATTTTCAAATTTGATATGTTGGTATCCTAAGTCACATATTCTTTTTTTTCAGAACCAGGGATTGAACTCAGGCTCTTATGCTTGCCAGGCAAGCACTTATTCTACTGAGCTATCTCTCTGGCCCCTAAGTCACATATTCTTAGAGCTATACTTTTTCGTTTAAAGTTATGTTTGTAAGATTCATCTATGTTGACATGTAGTTCTTGTTTACTTATATTTGCTGCCATACAGCATGATCTCTTTGAATATTTTGTGCTTTATGTATGCCCTTTTTCATGGACTTTTCGGTTCTTAATTTGTTGCTTTTACCTTGTTTTTCCAGGGAGCCATTGTTTGTTGGCATAACAGGATGACCTGGCACCCTCTCCATGCAGGGCAGTGCAGCTAGGAAGGTAAGATTGGAAGGCTGCTTTGGTCCTCCACTGCCTCCTGCCAGTCTGATTAGACTGCTATGCTTCAAGATGACTTTGTCTGATTAGATGTAGAAACTACATAAGGGCTTCGCAGTCAGATTTCAGTTAGCAGTTACAACCCTGGAAGCTTACCAATGCTGATTTTTTTTTAAGGTAGTTCTTATGTGGTAACATTTTGTAACCAAATCATAATAAAAAACAACTGCCATCTAGAACTGGGTATTCTTTATATGTTGTCTAATGTCTTGCAGAGAAGAATAGTTGTTGTGCTGTCTGGCATGTGTGTCCTCAGTTTTACTGTTTGCCAAATTGTTCTTCCAAGTGGTTTGTCCATGTACTCTTCCAGCCTAAGGAGCCCTGGGACTTGAATATTGACACAGTTTACTTTCACCAGTCCTTTGGGTAGGAAACAGCATATTCTTAATAAGAAACAAAAGGGTTCTCTCTAACACATCCTACAAACAAAAGGCTTGGTCTATAGGGCATTTCACGTGTGCACCAAAGTGAAGGGATTAGTTCAGTCCTGTACTCATCACCCTGCCTCAACAGTTGCCAACACATGGCCAGTGTCTTTATTCTGAGGAAGCCTGGGCTGTCCCAGCAGTCCATCTGCAAACACTTATGTATTGGTAGCACTGAAACTCTTGCACACACAACTACAAAAACTGTGTCCTGCCAGGTATGGCGGCACATGCCTGCAATCCCACTTGGGAGGCTGAGGAGAATTGCCATGCATTTAAGGCCAGCATCAGCTACATAGTGAGTTTAGGACCAGACTAGACTGCATAGCGAGATCCTGTGGAAAAGAAAAAAAACACAAACAAAAAATACTCCACTAAAAAAAATAACAGTCTCTCCATGTTACCAAAAATTAGGTAAGATTTTATTTTTTCCAATTGTAACATATTCAAATTCATATCTAAGTAAGGTTAGAGTGCTAGGTTTCCTGCACTGTCCCTTGCAACATCTATCTTTGGCATATTAGCAGCCACTGATAGTCATTTCCTGAAAGATCCACTTTTTCATTGGAAGTTGGAAAATGATGGTGTCTATCATTCCTTCTTGGTTATTAGCAAAATACCTCTGAGGGATTTCTCTCATCAAATTGATCATCTTGAGATTCTCTAAGTGTAGAAAAGATACATTTTATTTTTCATTCATCAACTTTAAAAATCATTAATCTTTTACTGTCTTGCAAAGGTTGCTTTGCTTCTCTTTATTACTGATAGATTTAAGCATACTGTATTTGATAGGATCTAATCCATCACACTTATTTTCCTTATTGATGCTTAAATTGTCTGGCTTGGCCAGTGGGACTTTCTTCAGGTTATCTCCTGACTTCTTTTGATACAATCTTAATAGTGTTTTTAAAAAATAGTTTTCTTAGGGGCCAGGGATATAGTTCAAGTGGCATAGTGTCTGTCTGGCAAGCATGAGGTCCTGGGTTCCATTCCCAGTACCAAATAAATAAAAAATAAATGTAAATAAAAAGTTTTCTTGATTTTTGTCTGATGAGATTTTTCAGGTACATCTTACACATTTCTTGCCTCAGGCCTGGAATCAGCCATTTCTCCAAGGAGACCTTGTCACATAGCCACCTTCTGCCTAGCATTTTCCAGAATTCCAGACTTCCAGAAAGAAAGCAGTTTAGCACTAACTGCATTATTTATGTAAATACTTTTGGTACAATGAACCCCTCTTCTGAAGGAATGGTTGTAAACCTTTTGAAACTGAAATTCATAGCTGTCAACCAAGGCCCACTGTATTTGCAGGTTTTGTAAAGGGTGAGCAGTTGGAGGCCTCCTAAGTAACTGCTCCTGTGAGATGTCTGGTGGAGGTGCTGGGTGGGCAGTGGGTTGGATAAGGTGCAGGTAAGGTTGCAGAAGGTTCAGAGGAGAGCTCATGATGGAGACAGACATGCAATAGCCATTAGCACTTAGTGCCATTTAGAATCTAAACAGATTTAGAAATCACACAGCAAGTGGGCGCAGTGAGGGACCCAAGCCCTGGGCCTTTGAGTAAGAAGTAGAGGAGCAGCTAATAAAGGAGACTGAGAAAGAACAACTGGTGTAGTAGTTGGAAGTGGGGTGAACATGAAGGCATTTGATATCCATAAGGGTAAACAGGAAGATTGTAGGGAGAAGGCATCAGTGCTGTCAAATGCTATAGAGGGCCCAATAAGCTGAAAGTGGGGAGTTGACTGATGCCCAAGTGCAGGTCACTGGGGATCTTAAAGTAAGCTATTGTTGCTGGGTAGTGGCTGGGACAAAAGCTTGGTGGAGGAGGTTAACAAAGAACAGAGCAGAGGGCTACAGATAGTTCTTTAAAGGCATTTTTCTAGAGATAGAAGTGGAAACACTGCCAAGTGGAAGGGGACAGGTGATAAGGATTCACAGCAGCATGTTGTTAATGGAAATGCTTCCACACACAGAGATGTCCATGACATGGGAAAGGAGGTGCTCCGTGGGACCAGGACCTGCTGCTACGCAATGTGGGAGAGGCGGCCTCATATGGAAACACCAACTGTTCGTCTCTGCTGATGGGAAGGCAGCAGAATGTGTGGGTCCCACAGGTGGGCTGGTGGATGTGCTGTGGAGAGCGCAGGAAATCATTGTCTGCTGTGCATGAAGCAGGGGAGAAGATGCTGGGGTCTTACAGGTGAACAGGTGTAAAGACTTGTATTGAAGACCAAATGCTTGGAAGGATGTGATTGTTAGGAACTGCTTTCTTATTATTGTTTAATTTTTTTTTTTTTTTTTTTTGTTTTGTTTTTGTTTTTGTGGAACCGGGGATTGAACTCAGGCCCTTGTGCTTACCAGGGAAGTGCTTATTCCACTGAGCCATCTCCCTGGCCCCACACTGCTGTGTTTTGATGAGCCTGCCTTTCCATTGGATGGCGCTGGGCAGCAGCATTCACTGTAGTTTTGATCATAATTGATAAAGTCACTAATGAAAGAGAACTTTAAGGACTGCTTCAAAAACTGGCCAACAACCATGGAATAAGTGTGTTTGAAGCCGGTGGGAGTATTTTGAAGGGATTAATGGCAGTGTGTCTTTTACTATAATAAAATTTTAAAAATTTAAACATTTTCTGTATATTTGACCCTATGTTCATTATCCTCCCCCCCCCCACCGAAATGAGGAGTCACTCTATAGTTCAGGTTGGCCTTGAGCTCACTCTGTAGCCCTGGCTGCCCTCAAACTTTCTGCTGTCCCCTTACCTCATTTTCCTGAGACCCAGCATTAGAGGCATGCTCCACCATGTCTGGCTTTCATTTTTTTTTTTTTTTTTTTTTTTAACCATGCAAATATTTCTTGAGGTCACGAACCTTATCTGTCTTTTGTTTACTAGTACTATTGAAACATTTAATGAATTTTAGGAGTAAAATAGCTTTAATAAGAGCTATTTAATGTCAGTTATCAACAAAAACAGTTCATTTGATCCTTTATCAGTGAATATGATGTTCACTTAGATTTATTTGCATCAGCTGTCATAGTGAAAAAATGTAAATGAAGTTTCTAGGGTTTTTTAGATGTTGCAAAATTATCAATCTATTTGTATTATAGAACAGATGAAAAGATACAGACCCAAGTGATTGTGCAAACAGAATGGCATAAAGTAGATAGATAATACAGTCATTTGTGCATTTTGAAGAAAGCTTCTCCTTTGTTACATTCTCTGTTTCCAGCTTGAGCTTCTGTTTTGATTTTGGGAACTGAGTTCACAGTTAAGGAAGCAGGACCAAGCCCTACAGAGATCATCTAGGAGTAAAGAAAACAGGTAATTTAATGATGACTGTAATCTATTAAATGAATGCTTTTCCCTACCCCCTCCAAGTGACTTGTGATTTATTACTTTTATTTTGTATTTATTTTTTACTTATGGTCTAAGTGAGGCAAGATTTTGCAACACATGAAATGAGTACACTATAAATTTATCTATTTGATGCCAGTAATCTCAGCTTTATTTCTCTGAAAGAGTCTAGTTGAAGATATTTTTTGTGATTACTATATTTTATGATTTCTTGTCAGGATTTATAAGTGCCTTAGTTAAATGGCATAACCAAAGTGAGTCATCTGTTGGGTTTTTGATTTGTAGTTTGTATTACATTTTCTTTCAGTTCCTTATTAAGTTAATAGCGATTTATGAAAATTAACAAGCTAATTTGAGATTTTTCATTTTTATCAGTAATTATGAGTGGAAGATCTCAAGTCCACATTTTTTGGGGTGCTCCAGTTAGTCCCCTGAAAATGACGGTATCCCAGAAAACAGCTTCTTTAATGTCCACATCTGACTCCTGGGAGAAAATCCAGCTGTTGTACCATGAAGGTGGTTTGCATATGCAGGAAGAAAGCTGCACACCTGGGAACCTAAGAGACTGTAGAGTCCTGGAGGGTGCGGGTACTCCAGATCTTGTTCAGAGGGAGCATGGCTTTCTGCATTCTGCTTCTGAAGCACAGGATGGAAAACCCTGGAAGATTCTCTCTTCATGCCTGAGTCCTGTGTCCTCCTCTAGTGTACAAATCAGAGGATTAAAGGGCAGAGCCCAGTGTTTACCTAAAAAAGAAAAACATCAAAAGCTTGAATGTGAAAGCAAAATCACAGGTGAACAGCCTGAAGATCAGTCACATACATGTGGCCAAAACTTTCAGACAGAGTCCTTTTCTTTAGGCCACAAATGTGCAGCTATGTTGGATTTGGGCCATAGTGCTGGACACATCGATACAGTACTTAAAACTGTAGAGACAAAGTGTGTGCCAACAGAATACCAGGAGATACAGAGCCAGCATCCAGAATTGCTCTCTTCTATTGCTGTGAATGAGCCAGAGCCTGCAGGAGCAGTGAGGAAGGGCTCCAGCCCTAACGTGTCTGTGGAAACTGAATTTCTTAGTATCATGACCTGCAGCCAGGTTGCTTTCTTAGCTCAAAGGAAGGCAGAAAGGCAGAAGTCCAGAAATACAGGAACTGTGAACATGGAGAGTGAACAAAAGGCAGGGCTTGGGGAAGTAAGCATGACTGAAGATAATGTGATTGAGCCTCATGAAGATTTTGTGGAAGGACATGAAAGTGGACAAAACCAAGCACATTCCTTAGAACTTTTTAGTCCTGAAACAGCAGGTAACCACATTCACATAAACCCAGGAAAAGGTCTGGAAGGAAATGCAGGATCTCAAGAATTGTTCAGCTGTGAAGATGAACTGGCACCAAATGAGATCCATATTGAGTTATGTAGCTCAGGAATACTGTGCTCCCAACTAAATGCCTGCCATGGAACTCCTGTTGGAAGAAGTGAGCCCTCCAAAGATAACTCGGGCCATTCTAAAGCTCTATCTGAACTCCCTGCAGTTCCTAAGAAGATGAAATTGTGTTCTAATGTAAGAGACACTTCCAGGTCAAGGGACAAGAGGTTTGTGTCTGAATTTAAAGGTATTAAAAAACTATCATTAATAAAAAACTGTGACTCTAAAGGCAAGAAGTATAATTGTTTAGTTATGGTGCTTACTCCATGTCATTTGAAAGAAGTAAACATAAAATCTGGACCAAATTATGGCTCGAAGGTACCTTTAGCAACAATTACAGCCATCGATCAGTCAGACATGAAGAGAAAGGTGGTTCTGTGGAGGACCACAGCATTTTGGGCACTTACCGTGTTTCTTGGAGATATACTTTTACTCACAGGTGAGCCTATCCCGGGATAGTGGCAGCTTTTCTCATAAAACTGTGGCTTTCTGTTTTTCTCCCTTCTTAAACCTTTGAGGACTCGCACTTGCCTCCTCTGGGCCAGCCTGACTGGCCCCTTGTGACACCTGCATGGGTCTCCTTTCTGCTGTGCTGCCCACTCTCTGCCATTTCTGGGTCTCTGACTGCCCTGTTCGTTCTACACCACCTTTCCATTCGTCTCCCCTCTAACAAGCCTTCTCTGAGTCCTCTTCTTCATTCACCAGGGAACTGTTTCGGTTATATCATTGAACTCTGTTTCACTCTCTTATGTTTTTATCTATGTATGTCTGAGTTTTAATCCTTTTCATATTTAGAAATATGAAAAGGAGAAAAACTCCTGGTGTTGTTACCAATTTTATATAGCTACTAGTGGAGTTTTTGAATATTATCTTTAGATTATTTTCTTTGTGCTTCTTTAAATGTGATTTATAGAGCTGGATGTGGTAGCTCATGCCTGTAATCCCAGCACCTGGAAGGCTGAGGCAGAATTGCTTGTAGTTCAAGGTCAGCTTGGGCTAGTGAGTTGTAGGTCAGCCAGAACTACAAAGCAAGATTCTTATCTCATCAAAATAGAACAAAGCAAAGCAAAGCAAAACAAAGCTGCCCCTCAAATTTTAAAAAAGTGATATATATATGTATATATATATATATATATATATACACACACACATATACATATATATGTATATATCACATTTGTCACATATATCTATACATAGTTACAGACAGACATGTATACTGATATGTTTATTGGGAAATTACTTTGTATCAGATCACATTTTAAGCAGTACATGTATGTCTCGTTACAACTACATGGGGAAAATACTATGTGTTATTCAAGTTTTTCTATTGAGGAAATTGAGGCCTAGAAAAATGAAATGACTTGTACACTGTCATGCATCTTGGAAGTGGCAAAGTCACAATTCCATCTAGCCTACAGAATTTTACTCATACTATATAACAATAAGGAACATCATCTTTCTTATCTAGCAGAAGAAAGCTAACATTGTGGCATGTTCTTTGTTGATTTAAAGTTAATACTGAATATATTAGCATTAGGAGGAAGTTGACTAGGCTGTGCCTGCAATCATGATAGAGGAGTAGGTCCCAGTTAGCCTTAGAAGCTGAGAGACCTTGGCTGCACCAGTCGAGTCCTACCGAGTGGCTTGCAGGCAGAGTGAGGACCATGTTCTATCCAAGTGTTTCTCTGGATTGTCAGACAGTCTGTAATACAGAGGTGAGCACAGGATTTTAGCATAGTTCCGCACCACTATCTGCATCTATACAGTTGTTCACAACTTGGTGACATTCTCTCAAGTAGCCTTATTGGAGTTTAATCGTTTCCCTATTATAGGATATTTATTTCTCTGAATATCTTTTAAGTCAAATTTTTGTTTTATTTATTGTTTTAATAAAGTAGTGAATTATATGTACACATAAATTTATGAGTAGCTCTCTATTTTAATGAATAATGTACAGTTGTACATTATTATATCTCTGTCTTGGATAGCTTGTAGTATCTTGAGCTGACAATCATCCCAAAATGGAGAGATTCTGTGTAATAAACGCATTCCATTTAGGCAGTTTTGCTGTGATACTTTTAGCAACAGAATAAAGAAAGAATGTAAATTCAGTTGTCTAGAGGAGACTGACTAGAGCTGAAAAGGTGAGCACCTTAGCACAGTGTTTAGGGAATAGACAAGAGGAGCTAGGAGCCCGGGCCTAGCAGTAAGCGGGCACAAGGGATTAGGAGGCAAGGGCTACAGCTCGGGCTTTCAGAAGGCTCTTCTTAAAATTTCTTATTTGTTCCTTCTAAAAAGCAGGCATTCTGAGTCAGATGATGAAAAGAGTCTTTGTCTCAGTACTGGCATGGAACCCAGGGGATCACACATGCTAGGCAAGCATTCTACCTTTGAGCTGCTTCTGCAGCACAATGAGAAGTCCTAAAGTTGTGCTTGCTCTTTCTGGTGAGGCAGTGAGGAGCCACTGAGTGTTCTTTAAGACTGTAATTTGACCTCACTGATGACCCTCACAAACCTTGCATTAGCCCTGTGGGGCATCATGGAGAGGCCAGGAGGCCTTGGGAAGGGGCTCTGGGATGTAAAGCAGTAGCAGTGGCAAGAGGTGGGCAGACTCCTGTGCAGACTCAGCCAGTAGGGCCTGCAGACCATGGGTGGGCAGACAGGCAGTGCGAGTGCAGGCTTCACTTACTCAGAGGAGATAGGTAAAGTGGAGGGAAAGCAGGTTTGGGTGGGGCTCAATTTAGGGGAGCAAATAGAATATCCTGATGGGAAGGTTCATTAGGTAGTTGTGAGTAAAAGGGCTTAAAGCTGAGGACAGGGTCTACATATAAATTTGGAAGTAACCACTGTAATTTATGCATCCTTGCTTTTTTTCCCCCATTATCTCCCACTTATTTTGCTACTGCTAATATTTTATACTACAAACACTTTGTACACTGATTATATCCTGCCTGGGTCTCTTTCCCTGTCTCTCTTCCTGTCCCTGTCCCTGCCCCTGTCCCTATCTGACTTCCTTTCCCTCTATATCTCCCTTTCCTTCTACATCTTCCTCCCTCTCTGCATCACTCTCCTCTTCTCTTTCCATGTATAGTTTTTGCTCTACCTAGAATTATTTCTACCTTTTGGAATGTTTATTTCCATTTAATGACTTTTTTTTAATCCATCTTGGATGATACAGGTCTTTCTATTCCATTGGAAAATGTTCCCCACCTCCAAGGTATTTCATTTTTAATATGTATAGATAATGATTACCATAGTGTTTAAGAAAAAATTATCATACTCTTTAATGTCATCAGATACACCCATAGCAGAAGGAACCAACACATGCTGAATGTTACAACTTTTCTAAGCACTACTACTTTGCAGTCAGTCCTTCACTTTCTGATCTCAAAAGACTTACTTATAATCTTTCTGAAGTGTTCATGAGAGCCCTTGCCTTACGTAAGTAGACACCATTAAAACTATCTCAGAGAGCAGTGAGCTTTCATGCTATCCTTTCAGTATGGCATATGGGGGTTATGTGTAATATTTTGCTAAGTGATTGCTAGGTTAACAGTACTAAGAAGGAATTTATGGCATGATCAGCCTTTTTTTTTTTCCCCTCTCTAGATGTTACCATTCATGAAGATCAGTGGGTTGGTGAGACAGTACTTCAATCAACATTTACCAGTCAGTTATTAAATCTTGGGAGTTATTCTTCTGTCCTGCCTGAAGAATGTAAGACACATTTTGAATACAGTAATTTCTTATATAGTATTTAAAGTACTGATGGTCCTTGATTTATGTTTCAACTTAAAATTTTTTACTTTGTGATTGTGCAAAAGCAACACACATACTTTGTTTTATTCATTTTTTTGGAGATATCTTGCCATATAATTTAGGCTGGGCTTCCATGCACTATGTAGCCCAGGCTGGCCTTGAACTTGTGGTGATTTTCCTGACTCAGGTTCCAGAGTGCTGGAGACACACATGGGCCAGATATAGGCCACCATGCCTGGTTACACTTTGGATCTTGAATTTTGATATTTTCCTGGGGTCACTAGTCTCTATATGCTGTGATCTTCTCTAGAAATGCTGGGCAGTGAGCCACAGGTTCCTGCCAGCTGCCTGATCTCCAGGGGAAGCAACTGAGCCTCTCAGAGGCACCCTGTTGCTCAGCTGTTTTAGGTGATAACCCCATTGTAAGTTGAAGAGCGTCTGTACATAAACATACCAGGACAAATTAGAGTAAAATGATTCTTCTTTCTTTCTTTCTTTCTTTCTTTCTTTCTTTCTTTCTTTCTTTCTTTCTTTCTTTCTTTCTTTTTTTTCTAGCCATATATTATGTTCTTATTGTGTTTGGGTGCCTGGGCAATTTATTCCTGTCAGTGGTGATCTATACTATTTGTGGCCATCTGTCACCTTGCAGTATGTGTTCATTATAAACTCCCAGCTCTGTGATCTGATTGATGGCTTCGGGGTTCTGGGTGATCGGTGTCAAGAACCTGCTGCCCATAACCTTGACTGTTTGAGACTGTCTTTCTCTCATACTTCTTTTGTGATCTGCCTAAAGTTCTGAAGCTTAACCATCTCCCTATTTTTACTCTTCCTGGAGTGCTCTCTTATTTTCACCTCCATTCTTATTGTTTCATTAGTTGGGAGCAAATCAAAAACCTTTCTACCTCTGGGTCCTACCTCTTGGTTATCTCCATGGCACAGGTCCTAGAGTGTATCTCATTTCTTTATTATAATTAAGTTTATTGGTAAATTGTATATCTATATATCTATATATCACATTCATAATAGGGACTTTGTATCTGTACATGTTATATCTTAATTATTTTTTTCCAATTCCCCTTCTCTCCCTTCAACCCTTCTCCCTCTCCTTATTTACAAAGCTTTCCTTTTGCTTTCTCGTTCTTTCTTTCTTTCTTTCTTTCTTTCTTTCTTTCTTTCTTTCTTTCTTTCTTTCTTTTTTAAAAAATATATTTGGTACAGAGTCTGCAGGACTACGTGTAGTGTCTTACTACATAGATCGGACTCATAGTGATTTTCCTGTTTTCAGCCTCCCAAGCACTGGGATTATAGGCATGTGCTGCCATGCCCAGTCTCAATGGCTGTCTCAGCACATCCTGAGGGCAGGGCTGGCACAGCACGCTGGGGATCAAACGCCAACCTCTGTGCTCTGCCTAAGCAGGCACGTTAGTCTGCAGAGCTGTCTGGCCAGCCCTTTTTCTTGTTTTTTTCTCTTCCCTTATTTCTTTCCTCCTCCCCTCTCCCCTAGTTCCCCTTTCCATTTGAACATTTTCTTTCTACTTCACAGTATCTACCATACATTTTGGTCTTAATTACACTTTTGGTTTCTTACACCAGAGAAACAGTGTGGAATTTAACTATATGTGTCAGATCTATTTCACTGAAGAAGACTGTGGTCTCAAGCTACACCCATTTACCTAGAAATATCTCAGCTTTACCCCTTTTATGACAGACTGCTACTCCATTGTATAAAAATCGTATCTTCTTTATCCATCCATTAGTTGATGGGCATTTGGGCTATTTCCTAGGTTTATCTATTACACGCTCTGCTGTTATAAACATCAGTGTACATACATCACTGTGGTATGGTGTTTTAAATTATTTTGGGAAGATGCCAAAAAGGGAAATACTTGGGTGAAGTGGAACCTCTAGTTTTTTGAGGAGTCTCTGTACTGATTTCCACAGTGGGTGTACACACTCCCACCAACAGTGTCTATACTCCCACCAACAGTGGCGAAGGTTTTTTTTCCTTCCCCACAGCCCCAGCAGCATTTGTTATTGGTTGATTTCTTGATACTAGCCTTTCTTTCTGGAGTGAGATGAAATCTCAGCATTGTTTAAATTTGCTTCTCTTTAATAACCAGTGATATTGAGCATTTTTCACATTTATTTGCCATTGCTACTTTTTCATCTGAGAAGTATGTATTCATTTCAGATGTCCATTTTTGGATTAGGTATTTGAATTTAGCGGGATCTGATTTTTTTAAGTTCTAGTCCTTTTTCTGAGGAACAGCTGGCTAAAACATTTTCCCACTGTTCATTTGGGTTGTCTCGAGAAATGAGATTCCATTTGTTACTTCTTTGTAGTATTTCCTGTGGGATTAAGGTTTTATTCATAAAGTCTTTGCCTACATCTATGTTTTCAGGAGTTTTACCTATTCTCTCTTCCAGCAGAATTAGTATTTATGTTTTAATATTTAGATCTTTCATCTATTTAGATTGTAGGTTAGTGCATGGTGAGATACATGGGTCTCATTTTAATCTTCAGCATCTGGAAAGTCAGTTTTTTCAGCACCGTATATTAAAGAGGCTATCTTTCTTTCAGTGAAGAAACTCTTCATCAAAGGTTGGCCCCTTTGTCAAAGATAAGATGATCTGAATGTATTTGGAGTTGTTACTGCATCTTCTAATCTGTTCCATTGATCTCTGAGGCTTTTGGCCAGAACCATGCTGTTTTTACCACAGTAGCTTTGTAATTTAATTTTAAGTCAGGGATTATGATGCCTCCTGCCTTATTGTTCTTGCCTGTTTTGCTGTTGTAGGTCTCTTCTGGTTCCAAATGAATTTTAGGATTGTTTTCCCTAATTCTGTGAGGTATGATATTGGTATTTTGATTGGGATTACATTAAATCTATATAACAATTTTGGAAGTATGGCCATTTTTACTGTGTTGGCTCTTCCAAACAAAGAACAAAGGATATCTTTATATTTTTCTAGTATTTTCTTTTTTAAAAAAAAATTGTTTATTTATTTATTTATTTATTTATTTATTGCGTGTGTGTGTGTGTGTGTGTGTGTGTGGGTGTGTGTGTGTGGCCAGCTCAGCCCACCAGGGGGGCGGGGCTGGCTGGCATGT